TTTGTGCTGTGACATTACAAAAGGATCGTTGCATAAAATGTTAGAATCTGTCATATTCTAAAAGTGGCAAGAATTTGTATTCTTACACTAAAGATATGGATTACAGATTGTGAAAAGAGTTCATTAGAAAACTTTCAATTGATATATTTCACAAAGTGTAGATCATAGGTAACCAAAGTGTGCATGCTTGGAGTATGGGACAATTGTGGTTATAATTCAAGTACAAATTTTATTATCCGAAACATTAAACTATGAATAATGAGTAGTCAATATGGTGGTTAAATAAAGGTGTTTTATTTACGCTCAAAAAGTTGTGGGGCCATATAGGATTGAGTATTATAATTGTGTTTCACTTTGCATGTTTTGACTTCCAGAATAACTAGGTTATTCAAACATCCACAGTTGGTCATATGTTGGGAGTAAGTATGAAGGAAGACTGTCATGAATTGGTGTGTGGATTGTCTAAAGTGTATTATACATAAGCAAAGGTTTGCTGCAACGTTCATGAGTGCTTATGAATAAGAGTTGAGCATTGGATTAAACCCACGCTCACGTGAATCACTTCATGGATTTTATCACGAGTGATTATGAGACGATAATATTATATATTCTTGAAATCAAGACGTGTGAGTTGTTACTTGCTTATCGGTTGCACATTGATAATGAGTAAACGCACCAATAACTTGGTGTTATAAAACTTACTGTTTTGTGTGATTCGATGAGTGAGTGCAAGCGAGCATTTGAGTCGAAGTTTATCCGTTCCTTTTACCCAAGGTGGGATAAAAGTGATATCTATGGTCCCCTCAATGTTTTAGTGATGACAAACGTAAATGCTCGGCCAGGCTAGGACTAATTTAATTTGTTCAATTGGTCAGTCGTCGTAAATCGGAAATAGAGAAACAACACATAAACTGAGAGACTGTTTTCAATCCATGTCTCATGTCTATACGATATCTAGAATGGAGGAATATATGATCCCTTATCTAGAGGACACACTTCTGATAAGATCAGAGTTGACAGCGGCTTTTGGAAGCTACGATTGCTGATCAAGTTCTGAAGTTATATGAATAGTTATTAGACTTATCCAAGTGGGAGACTGTAGGATTAGTGTCTGAGTCCATTACTATTTTAGTATGTATTTGACCCGATTATGAGCATGGTCCTTTTGGGTTGCCTTCACCATAGCAATATGTAGGATGAATTTAGGAGAGAAAGGTTTAATTATGATTTATTAATATATTATGAGAATAATATATTAAAGGAGAAATCATATTTTTTAAATAATATTAGTCAAGAATTAATTAAGAAATTAATTTTTTGGCTAAAAGAGATTAATTAAACTTAGGGATTGGAATTGTAATTATAAGATAATTGCAATTGGGCTATGGATCACCTTGGAATATAGGTTGGACGAATTCTATGGAGAGCCCATAAGGAATTCGTCCAAGGGATGTTCTAAAAGGGTCCATGGCCTACTTAGGGCTTAAGCAGTCAAATTTGGGTTTCCTTGTTTGATAACCCTAATAGCCTAAGTATATAAAGACCCCTAATTACCAAAAAACGTGGTTAAGTGTTCCTTGAGGGTTTCCAGCCGTTTTTGGTGTCTCCTCTCTCCTCCCTCCTCATCCAAGTTGCTTATGGTGTTTGTGACTCCGTTAGAGGTGCAACATTTGAGGCATTAAGTTTTCTAAAGCCAAGGATTGATTGTTATTGCTATATAACAATCAATGGTACTTATTTAAACCTTAATTCAATTTATTACATATTAGATCTAGGGTTTATGGCTTTGGATAACCAATTGCATGTTCATTAGACAAACTAGATCCAAATCTATTAGGGTTTGCATGTACACCATAGGAATGATGTATTGCTCAGAACCCATCAGTTTATACATACTCTTAATTGTTTGATATGGATGAGGTTATGGTTTGGATCATGTTTTTTTTTTCAATGCATAGTTTTGAGAAGTTTAGTTATTAGTTTTATTTCTTTCTTTCTTCTTTTCTGTTCATTCCTGGCTCGTTCTTTCTCGAGGACAATAAATGTTTAAGTTTGGGGAGATTTTGTTAGGTTCAGTTTTAAACATCATTTTATCATATTTTACACATTATTTCCGCAACATATTGTATATATTTAGCATGCATTTCATACGTTTTATTACATTGTTTGTTTGGGACAATTTTACTCATTTAAGATTAATTATTGTAGATTTATGTAAGCGGGTAATGACATCTTCAAGGACCAATAGAAGTCACATAGAAGACCTTGCAACCACATTTGAAGTCTCGTAACAACATCCACGATAAAGCAATAAAACGAAGTGATTTAATTTTTTTTTTTGGAAATTTGATAGCAATGTGCGGTCTTCGTAAAGTGATTGGATCGAGGGGTAAACGTGGTCCGATCGAGCTGAAATTTTACCAGTGTCTCCCTTACCCATAGATCTTTAATCGAGGGGTAAACGCCGTCTTCGTCAAGAAATTCAGCTTAAACATCTCATCTGCAATATTTTTTTCCCTTCAAATAGTTCCCATTATAATAATTTCCCTTCCAATATTGTGCTTTCCAAGCCTCAAGCAATGTATCATTCTTATCACATTCGCCCAGTGTCTTAAAATCCAAACCCTTATTCGGAAGTCCATGTCTCGTTTGTTATGGGCACTTCACCACTTTTAACCCATATGGAGTGAGAACTAGTTGTGAAGCTATCTACAACAAAATATGCTAACTCTCCGGGTAGTGTATCAATCTTCATTCCCATAAAAGATCGAAAACCCATCTTGCATACCATTTCTCGTTGATTTTTTTGATAAACTTATAATTGCTAAATACAATGAGTTTGGAGACATACGAGTACTCAACCTTTGAAGTTTTGTTCCTGCCTTCCGTTCTTTGCATTTATCTTGAGATCCAATTACTTTTTCCCCTTTCACCTTAACCTTTTTATCCCTAACAATCTTTTCAACCCTTTTCCTTTTCATTTTGTTCTCATTCTTCCCAAAATTCATCTTCTTTTTCCTCTCAACAAAATCATCATCACTGCTGTCATTTTTCTTTGATTTTCCATTATTAGTCTTTTTGGTAATTCTAGCTTTCGTCCCCCACCAGCTATCCCTTCATTACCTACATTCATCATAGCATTATTTCCTTCAAGTACACGGACACTTGATGAACTTGTACATTGTTATCATCATAATGAATCTTACATTTTTCAAACAAATTATAAAATTAAACTGCACATATTCATAAGTGAATACACATGCATCAAACCAAAAAAAAATCAACAACTTCAATAGTACCATACTCAACACAAAATTTTTTACTCATACATTAAACATTCACTCACGCATCCATGTGGCTTCAATTTTTATTTTCCAATATCAAAGTATGGACCTAATAGGAATACAATTTTCAATATTAACCATAGAACATAATTTTTTAATGTGAAGCAACTTAGATTTGCCATATAAAATTTAATCATTAACCTATTCCTTTTTTCCAAGTTCAATCATACTAATGTTTTCCATATACTCACATATGAATTAAACTTCATAATCCATTGCATTATTTGTTACATCATTCCTATTTATCACCAAATACGATAATAAAAAAACTCTATCACATACTCTTAATTCACATTTGAATATTATTCCATTCCAAACAGAATATTGACTCATATAGTACACATTCATACACAAAGCGGAATAACAGTTTTGAATATTACTCAAAGTATTGAACTAAGATGAATTCAATATTAAATATACAAAACATAATTTCTTAATTTGAAGCAACTTAGCTTTACCATATACCATTTAATCATTACCTATTCCATTTTTCCAAGTTCAATCATACTAAAGTTTTCCATATACTCACATATGAATTAAACTTCCCTAATGCATAACAAATCTCATCAATTTCACTTTTTAGATGCTCAACTATTTACAGCCTTCATAATCTATTGTGTTATTTGTTTACATCCTTCATAATCATCACCAAATACGATAATCAAAAACTCTATCTCGTACTCTTACTTAACATCTGAATATGAATTCATTCTAAACAAAATATTGACTCAAATAATACACATGCACACACACAAAATCTTTCATAGTCAAGACCCTATCAATTAACTGCAACTAAATTGACTTGACCCTAGGCCAAAGTGTTGAGGGCATGATCTATTTGAAAAATAACCTATTTTTTAGGTCATTATTCGTGAAAAAAAATTAGGCATAAGATCATGGGGGCATGTGGTTAATATAAATTTATGTTTTAGGGGTCCGGTGTGAAACTAAAAAATGGGCCCCTAAATATATATTTATTTTTTACTTATACCAAAAATTCATTAATTATTCCATAATTGTTATAATATGAAGTAAACAAAAGAATGGGCTGAAAAATTATAATAAAAATAAAAAGCATAATTGCTTGCACCAAGTTTCGAACTTGAGTCTAAGCCATGAATGTCAAGTGCCTTTGCCATGTCAACCACGAGCTTTTTATTTACTTTAATCTCGACATCTCATATATATATATATATATATATATATATATATATATATATATATATATATATATATATATATATATATGGGTAAATACCACTAATTGACAAAAAATGAGGGTAAATTTGAAAATCTAGTCATAAAAAACGATTTTTCTAGATATAGTCATGCATTCCGCGGAGGACCCTCCGTGGACCTCCGCGGAACCATTAATGCACCGCGAAGCGGGGGTAAATTGGTAATTTCAACCGTATTTTTTTGAGTAAAACAAAGGGGTCTTCTTTTTGGTCCCCACTCTCCTCGTTCCTGGTCCTCTCTCCGCATCGAATCCAAACTGTGATCGAAGAATTAAAATCCGGCGAGGACTTCAACTCCGGCGAGGAATTCAACTCCGGCGACGACTTCAACTCCGTTGACGACTTCAACTCCAGCGAAATCAAGTCACAGAAGTGTTTCCTTCACCGATGGACCCCAAAATCCCCGATGTAATGGCGGATGGATACGACCCCCGGGTATTTTCTCACATTCTCATCTCATTTTTAATGTCGAATACGATTCAAATTAGAGGAAAACCCATTTGATTACATTGAAAATGTATACAGATTTAGGATTTTTAGGTTTAGAGTGATTCAAATTGGGAATGATCCATTCCGCGGAGGGGGATGTCAGTCCGCAGAGGGTACTCCACGGATTGATGTGTTTCCTCTGCGGAATGATGTTATCGAACAAACCATCGCTCCGCGTTGGCTAGAGGTCACTCCGCGGAGTGAAGGTTTTTGCACAATTTTTATTTTTCTGGTTTTAAGTATGTTGCTATTTATTTCATAGATTAATTTTTTTTTTCAATTTGCAATGTTTTAAATGAAATAATATTTTTTTTTGTTGTGTAGCACAAAGATCTCAATCAAAAAGCGGAGTTAACTTTGAAAGGCGTGGTGGGAACTATAATTAAAAAGTATTTTCCGCGCCTAACACAATCACAACGAGTATTATTCGAAGCTTCCCCCTTTGGAATATTCTTAGGAATGCATATCCCATCTGGTGATCCATTACTTGTGTATATGATGATGTTGTATGAAGTAAGGTCTCAACAAATATTTGAAATGGGGGGGGGGGGGGTTATGTTTGATATACAGGGGATCCAGTTGGATTTTGGTGAAACTGAATATATTCTGATTTGTGGTTTAAAAGTTGGTCCTTATGTGGATTCACTCAATGACGAAAAGGGCCATTCAAATTCACATCTTCGTGCTTGGTTGTTCCCAGATATTTCAGATTCACGTTTGCGGCTGAAAGATTTAGAAGACTTGATTTTGTCCCCGAATTATTCGGCACTACAAGATGAAGATGTTGTGATGCTTATCCAACTTGTTTTTATGTTGAAGGGTCTACACGGACGGGACGAAACGGGTAGTATAGAAACTTGCTGATAATATAAATGATTGGAACAAGTATTACATTTAAAACAGGCATTCCCGCAGTAGTATGCAATGCATTAATTATAATTAATAAATTGAAAATTGCAGGTTTGCATGGGGTACGTATTTATGGAAATATACTTCGCATATGATGCGTGGAATGTTTGAGAAAATAGAAGAGTTTAGAGAATTCAAGCAGGCGAATCCCGAATCGAAGAAAGGACACAAGTATACCGTTCCTGGTTTTATGCTTCCGTTTAAGGTTACTTTCTAATGCATTTTAATAGTTATCATTGTTTAGTTTTTTATACAATAAAAATTTGAACTTCGTTTTGCATTATATAATAAGTTTGTATAATGACTTTTATAGTATAATATAATAGAATGATACATTTATTTTTTCATAGATATGGATTTTGGAGACGTTCCAAGAGGCAAGGAAGTATTATATACACATGCCAACAAAATTGCCACGGATGAGGGCGTGGAGAAGTAAATCACCGTTAACTTGGGATGAATGTTGTCGAATAATGAACGTGTCTGTGGTATGGTTTTTAAATTAAAAATCATTTATATTTTACAATTTTCAATGTATTTTTATGTTAAACTAACAATCTGATTTTTGCAGCCTAACAACCAACCTATTAATGTCGTGGCAAACCCGGAGGAGCTGATGTTGCTGTTTTATCTTCGTTATGTGAATTGGAGTCTTAACCCTGTAGAGTCTCCCCCATGGCAACATAGTCCTATTCAAAATAGTCCACCTCATCATGTTGCCTCGCCTGCTCAAAAAAGGATGTACAAGTCCGAAATAGAAACATCTTCGACTGAATCTGCCACAAATGCTTCTTCCTCGCAACATCTTGATACAAGTTATAAAGTAGATAAGAAGAAGACGAGCACAAAGGCAGTAGTGAAGCGTCTACTAGGCATTGTGCCAGACTTAAGTTCTAAAGTAGACCGTGTATTACAGAAAAAAGATCAACCAGACAGAGGGTTTCAAGAGGAGGAACAAATGATAAATGAAGAGGAGGAAGAAACATATTACCATGATACAAATTTTGACTATGATGATATCGGTACTCATGGTTTGGAGGGGGAATTTGGGCCTACACCTACGCATGTGGAGCATTCATCGGACGTGGGTGAACATCACACAAAAGAAATGACTCCTATTGTTAGACCGCAACGAAAGAGGGGTGTTCCATGGTATCAGCGGACTCCGTTCACATTGGTACAAAACTCATATTTTAAATTTGATATATATTTAAAATATTAATGTATTGATAATTATTTAACATGTTAATTCTTTAGTTGCAATCCACACCAAAAGTTAAGAAAATCGCCAAAGCAAAGAAAAAAAAGTGTGTCCCGTGCATCTCCTGAGTCCCTTTTGTCCCTTTCCCTTTTGTGTTACTACCTGATGCCGCACTAGTTTTTCTAGCCTTTTTTTGTTTCTTTGGGACCAATGTCAGACAAGTCGCTGCATTATGTGTTGTACTATCACATCTACTACACCTTCTTACTATAGGTTCCTCTCCTTGTGACGGGATACGATTTCTGTTTCTCGGTCTACCAGCTTGACGTGTATCCATTATCGGGGGTTTCACAACCATCATCTCAGTAGGAATCTCCCAATCACACAGTTCTGGAAGGGGGTAAACCGGATCCCATACGTACTTCGGTACGTTTCCATTTTGTAAGCATCTATAGCCAGATGTCCGAAGTTAGTTTTTTTCAAGTGCTTCAAGACCATTACGACATGACCACAAGGCAACCTAGTTCCTTCCCAATATTTGCATGTACAAGTCTCTTGCCTCAGATCAACTATGCCACCATGTATGAAATCATGAACTTCATAAATTGCATCTGAAACACCAGAAACGGACCCTCCTGTCGTACGCTCTTCATTTTCACTAACTACTTTTTCAGCCCACTCGGTTAGCACTGTTGAACGTTTCCCTGTAAAGAAGATATATATAATTAACTAATTATTCAACCTAATTAAAGTCAAAATTAAATTCATACCTCCTTTGATGCAACGCTTGTTACACCATTCCTGTGAAAGACGACGGAAGAACTCAAGAAGGGGTATTATAGGCATCTTCCTTGCATCTACAGATAAAGCATTCATGGACTCTGCACTGTTCGAGGTCATGTAATCGTAACATTTCGACAACAAATATGCTCTAGTCCATTTAGCACGGGGAATTTCACTTAGATAGGCTTCTACTTGCGGCCTAGTAGAACTAAATCTATACCACAATTCTTCAAAAACATTTATTTTGTAAGCTTTCACAGGCCTCCAAAACAACACTTTTGTTTTATCATTTTTCCTAAACCTGTGTACTATGTTTCCTAGTAGATGAAAAGCACACAAGCCATGATGAGCATGTGGAAAAACATTTTCAATACTAACCCGAATTGCATCGGCCCTATCAGTTACAAAAGTCAATTCTTGACAATCACCAACACTTTCATACAACTTTTCAAGAAACGATGTCCAAGTAAGACCACTCTCTTTTTAGCATATTCCGTGCGCAAGGGGTAATATCTGGTTGTTCCCATCCATAGCTACTGCATGCAATATGGTTCCCTTAAAATCACCCATCAAATGGGCACCATCCATAATTATAACTTTACGACAAAAACTTTTGAACGCTCGTATCTGCAATATATCAAAATGGAACACATAAACAATCTATAATTTGTTTAAAAAAATTATATATTAAATAACAAAAAGTTTTTTGTATTTACCGTGCTCCGAATGGCATAAAAACAACACTCGAAATAATCTTCAGAATCTGTTTGAATATACGCCACTGTACCGGGATTATGCCTCTTCAAATTGTGAAAATAAATAGGAAGTTTGGAAAAAAATTCTTCAGAGGATCCCAACAACAGTTCCATAGCATATTGTTTTACACGCCAAGCTTGTTTGTAATCTACATTGACTTCCAGCAAAGCATTCAAATCCATTGATATTGCATTAGGCCTCCAAACCTTGGAACGAGTTTTTCCCATAATCTCATGCAATATAGTACCCATCACTTTTTATTAGCATGCTTATGATTAGGGTGTATCTGTAATGACGAACATGTGTGCACGTTGTTGAAAGTCCTGATTTCAAATTCATCAATGGGATCAAGGCGTTTTGCATATAAACGCCAACTACAGTTCTCAATTTCACAATATACCTCATAACGATTTTTATTAGACGGTTCGGTCTTAAACTGAAACTTTTCTCTAGTTGCTTTAAGACTCAAAGCAAAAATTAGTTGTTGTTTGTTATCATATGTTTGATGAACAAACATATCATCATTTGGACCTAAACTGTGAAATGGTCCGGGTTCAACAATAGGATCAGGACAATCAGGTATGGGAGGCATACCGTAAAATATGTCTAAAGCTTTTTTCCCGTGTGTGAACTCATCTTCTGACCATCCTTAATTTGATTCTTCACCGTCTGAGAAAGTTTTGTTAGTTAGTCTTCCAAACTCATATAAAAAATTTCATCAACCGTATTCAGTGCCACAGTTTCTTCTTCTGGACACTCTTCAACATTATCAGATATAATGTTTTCAACATTGTATGCTACACCTTTCTCAACAACTTCTGTCTGTTTGACTAATCCCTGAAACACCTCTAAATACAAATGCACAATCTCCTTCATTTCAGAAATTACATATCTGAGTTGATGAACATCTGCTTCATCTAAAATATTCATCACATACCCATGAACCGGGTGTTGAAATGACAATGATATGTTACTATTGAACACATTAGCCTTACTTTTGACCAAATCAAACAATATTCGATAATCAAAATTTGGCGGAAGCAGTAAACCCAAGTTGTTTAACTTTGGTCTAACGTAGGTGTTAATCCCATTACTTACCTGCCAAAACCCCCTAGTACATAGAATAACAAAACTTATATTTGTTTTTGAAAATCAAATGAAAACGAACTGATATATCGACCAAAATGGAACTAACATATGAAAAAGAAACTTTTGTTTCAAAAAACCCTTCAAAATGCCGTTCCAACCACCCATTCCGTGGAAGCATTACTCTCTCCGCGAAGGAATTTATGAGATCCAAACAACTCTCTCTGCGGAGCTTTTATTGTATCCGCAGAGAGCATACGCGGAGCACTATTATAAAGGCTAAAAAAATCATATTTTCAACCACTATGTGGAGATGACGTCATTCCGCGGAGGGTCCTTTGCGGAATGCGTGTCTATATATGGAAAAAACGTTTTTTGTGGCTAAATTTATAAATTTACCCTCATTTTTTTGTCTATTAGTGGTATTTTCCCTATATGTATATGTATATATATATATATATATATATATATATATATATATATATATATATATATATATATATATATCGACATCTCATTTTGTTACTCTTTTCCATCTTTACAATCATTCATCCCTCCACCATGTTCTTTCTTTTAAGTTTTAACTTCCTATTACATTTTGCGTTTTTCATTTTTGTGTGTGAGTGTGTGTTTTCAAAAAAAGTAAGAAAAAAACTTTCCACAAATGTGGCTTGATCAAAGTGGAGAAAACTAAAGTTGCTGGTTTTTATACTGTTGATTTATGTATGTGATTTAAGTTGTATAAAGTAAACTAAAACACTAATATTAATTAATGTAGATATTTGGTATTTTGACTTGTTTTGGTAGAAGAATGAACATCCAATAAGGGAATAATTCGTGAGGCTAATCAACCTTAGTTATTTATTCGGTACATCCAAGTTATCTTAGATACTATCAACTCTCTATATAAGCAATCCTGAATAATGAAATAGTTAATATTTTGTTTTCAAGTTTATTATGACATATTTTCTTATTATTGAAATTGGTTCTAAAAAGTTATATTATCATGCACAAAAGTTAAATGTATAAAATAGAAACCTACTTTCACATATTTCCTGTTAACAACAACATAATTTGTATTTTATTTGATACTTGATGCAAACTTGTTTTTTCAAAAACCAAAAACTGCCCAGAATGCAAAACTCGACGATTTCTGGCCAAAAACTTGCCGAGTTCATGAGTTAAAACATGAACTCAACTTGTTCCTTAGAGAACTCGACGATTTTGGCTTCCAGTTTGCAGTTTTTCGACTTTTGTTGCTGGAAATGGACTAGAAACATTACCCTAAACTGTTTTTTGGTGTTTTAAAACTTGTTTTAGTTGGTGTAATGGTTATGCTAATCCATTTACAATGGCTAATATAAAATTTCCAAGTTTATATGTGTTCATATGATTCTTGAAAATTTGATATGAATGTTCATGTTCTTACGAGTTATTGTTAGATCATAGGAATTATTTGCTAAATTGGTTAGTGATTAATTCTTGATCAATTATGTGTTTTAATGGAATCCATAATTTGTCCTCAAGTTATGGATTACCAAAAGTCACTCTTTTAAAGTCCATTAAAGAAACACATAGGTTACATAAAATGAAAAGTCTTGTAACGATCGACTTTCGAGGTAAGGATTATTTGATTCTTCTAATTTATGGCTGGGCCAAGTATAGATAAAAGGACTATTGGATTGGACTTAAGCAATTGGGAAAAAGATTTGGGCCGCCCATAAGACGTACACTGGGCGTAGCCTGGGTGTACGCGGGGCGTAGTGGTCCTCTTTGGATTCTGGGGACGCGCACATGTACGCGCAGCGTACGTGAGCAGATAGAAAACCCTAATATTTAGGGTTTAAGTCATATAAATACCCCATTATAGCCTCACCCATGGCTTCCTATCAGTCCCCTCACCATCAGAGAAACCCTAAATCGCCCCATACTCCATTGTTGTGTGTGTTTGACCTTTGTGAGCTTATTTTGGTGAAGGAAAGCTTGGAAGAAGAGAATGAGAGGTTGAAAAACAAGCCCTTGAGTACCTTGAAGCTCACGGATCTGTATTAAGCTCATCATTTGGCATCTAAAGGAGGTATAAAGCTCTTAACTTTCTTCCTTAAAGTCTAGATCTAGAGTTTTGGAAGATTTGGACCTCTTTAGGTACCATGATTGGATCTTGATCATGCAAATTCAAATTTGAGCTTAGGGTTTCCACCCTTGAGACTCAATGAGTTCCTTTAGTTGTAAAGTTGCAAGCTTTGAGGCCATTATGAGAACATGCATGAGATCTAGCCATCTTTATGGAGTTAGTTGTAATTATTCCATGTTTGGGAGCATTTGGTGGGTTGCAAGCCACCAAGTGACCAACTTTATGGATTAGAATGATGAAAGGGACTTGGATCTGTAGTTGTAGCTTATGGGTTCGAGTATTAAGAGCTTAATGTGGAAAGGAGCTTAACAGGGTAGTACGTTGGGCGTACTAGCCAGTACGCGCAGCGTACAAGCTATGCAGTAGGTACGCGCTGCGTACAGATGTGTATGCCTCGCGTAATCATCAGAATTGGGCCTTTTGTATTTTTGGCCCTCGGGTTGGGCCAATTGTTGGGCTTGTCAATTTTTGGGCCTCAGTAAGGCCATCAGAAGTTAGATTTTGGACCAAGGGCATGCTTGGGCTTTTGTGGGCCTATATGAGGAGTTAGGCCCAATTTAAAAAATTGGGCCATTAGTAGGCCAATGGTGGACTTAGAAGGATAAGTTGGATTTGGGCCTTGAAGGTAGTCCAAAGTATGAGAAAGGGTAATTGGTTCAATTTACCCTTAGTGGTATCCACAATGTTCTCACCAAGTTTTAATGAATAGAGTCGGCCCGGGAGTCGTAGGAGCATCAAGCAGAGATTACTCATTCGCGAGTTCAGCATCCAGTTTGAGAGGTGAGTCCTCTTCCTGTAGGAATGGGTATAAGGCCACAATGTCGAATCTTTTAAGTAATTATAGTATGTCGGGGTTAGCCCGATGCAACTTATATGTTCCGAACTGTGGTCCGATGTCGGGGTGGTCCCGAGAAGTAGTTCTGTATGCTTGATGTCTTTGTGATTCATGCATGTTGTATGTTATGTGTTTTGTGTTTCGGGCTTAGGCCCAATGCAGATTATGTGATTTTGATATGTGTTTAGGATATATGCCATGTTGTGTAAGTTTTAGGTTAATCCCGATGCCGGGGCAAGCCCGATGCGGGGGTGAGCCCGATGCCCGATCCGGTCGGATGCCGGGGTGATCCTAATGCCGGGCAGGAGTCCGATGTCGGGTAAGCCGATTACGGATTCGTCCCGATGCAGATGGGAGTAGTCACAGTGTTATATTATTTGGTTTATGCTTTGTGTATGGTATGTGGTAGATTGGGGACACTCACTAAGCTTCGTGCTTACAGATTTAGTTTTGGTTTCAGGTACTTCTGATAGCAAGGGGAAGAGCTCGGGATGATCGCATGGCACACACCACAGTCATTAGCCTAGGATTTTAACTCTGATATTTTAGAACATGTTTATTTTAGTGGATTTATTATGATGTTTGAGATACATGAGACATGATTTTCTATTTTCAATTTGGTTTGATATGAGTTTTTATAATAAAATAAACGAAATTTTTGGGACGTGTTTTTGGGATGTTACAAGTTGGTATCAGAGCCTTGGTTTGAGGGATTCGGGCACATTTTCGGGTGCGTCTGAAATCAAACTAAGGAAATGGTATAAGAATTTTCAAAAGAAAAAGCAATTTTTTTTACAAAAAGGATTTTGAAAATAGAAAAGAACTTCAAGAAGGGTGCGGTGCATGCAATCAGCCGAGCTCAAGTAAGTACTCCCAAATTACACATACAGGTTATGATTATCAGTTAGTGTATCACAACATGCTAGATTAGGGCTAAGGATCTATGAATGATGCCTTATGTGCCTATTATATGTGCTCAGCTTTATGAGAATTGCATGCTATCCCAGATTAGTTAGTTTGATAGCCAAAGTAGTAGATATTTGATTATGTGAACTTGATGCTCGAATGTTGCTTGCTTTGTGCTTCTAGGAGTCTTAGTTATCTTTTACTAACTAGTGAATGAATACGTTACAATGCATATTGCTAGGATTGAATAATTTTAGAAGGTTAGGTCTAGCTCTATTGCACAACTCTCATTTGAGTCCAACCGTTGTAGGGTAGGATCTATCATTCGAAGAATTATCTAGTCTTAGTGATATGTAATAGTATTCACAAGCTAGTTAGGGGGAGGTAGCAGTGACTTCTTATGCAACTGACAGCGGAAAGTGGTTTGGTGGTTACCCTAGGGCAAGCCTAGGAAGAATCTAGTATGAGATCAGCAGTGGTAGTAGAAGGGACTTGGTGGAGCGAGGCAGTCCTTGAGGAAATGTATAGATAGATGTGGAAGATAGTATGGGCCCGTACTACTGAAAGCAGAGGATCCGTACTCAAATCAATGAAGTTTGAGATAAGACCAGGGAACTTGTAGTGTATGAGATCCCTTGAGTTATGTTAAATATGCTGATAATGTTGTGTTGTGTTTTCAGAATGGTGGTTTTACACCTTAGACCAGCAGTCGGCAGTTCAGGCGTCAGAGAGGGATCAGGTGCAGGCACGAGAGCCGAGCACCAAGATGAGAAGACCAGGGAGTTTCTCTCCTCAGAGATCACTCACATTATACTCGAGTAGACTCCTGTGATCTTCAGTTCGATCAAGGAGGGTATCCTAGAGCTTATGGATGAGAGATTGGGTGCATTCCGCACAGAGGTGGTGGCCATGACGGGGTCGCGCACGCTCACCTTCAGGGAGTTCAGAGCTTGTGGAGCTCCTGATTACCATGGGCCCCGAAACCCTATTGCTAGTACCAGATGGTTGGTTGATGTCGCCAACGCGTTCCGCACCAACAGATGTCCCGAGGGGGACAAGGTCAAATTAGCATCATGTCTTCTGAAGGACAGGGCACGAGACTGATGGGAGGAGGTAGGGAGAGCCATCGGAGATGATACACTTTTGGATGCGATGACCTGAGGTGATTTCACGATCAGGTTCAGGGCCGAGTTCGCACCTTTCATTGAGGTGAAACATCTTGCTAGGGAGTTCCAGGACCTCCAGCAGACGACAGAGACTGTAACGGAGATCAACGCCAAGTTTAGGGAGAGG